GATAGCGCGGGGACTCAGGTAGTGGCGTCCTGCATGAACAGGTGCAGGACGGATAGGTTGGCCCTCGTGTTGAGGAGCAGAGCTGGTCTGTTGATCCACCGCTGGGGGGGTAGGGGTAGTGGGGGCAGTAGAACCAGGGTCGCCTTTGGCTAAGCCTAGAGTCAGGCAAAAACAGAGACATATGAGCATGCGTGTAACGACACGAACCTTTGCTGAAGCTGCTCGGGCCTTGGGGTTGCGCCGGCAACCGAGAAGGCGACTGCTGTCCCAGGACGTAGTGCTTGGACCTGAGAAAGGAGCAGGGTGAAGCAAAGGTACCATCACAGCAAGGAGAATCCACCAGCTCAGCAGGCATACTACAGAAAGGAGTTGCTGGCTACAGATGATGGCTAGTACTTGGGCAGGCAACAACTGTAGGGGTGGACCTGGCTCAGCACTTGCAGGAACACTGGAATGCATATATGCCTCCTCCATCGCAGGGGATCGGCTCTCCGAAAGGGGGCCGCTTCGCGGCGAAAGGGAACGAGCACGGAAAAGACGGTCTTGTAGAGCAAGTGGGCCTGGAGCAGCAGCTTCTTGATCAGTGAGGGCAGGAGCAACCGGAGACCCGAGCCACATGTGGAACACCATGGTCAGCTGGTCGAGCGAGATTCTCCATGGGAGGGAATCGTAAACCCGGCGGGGTATGTTGCTGACCAGACTGTGCAACAGCGTAAAAAGCTCCCCAAGTTGTTCGAGCAGATCACGACGGGAGCTTTCCCAGAGAGCCAGTGACCAGGCTTCAACCAGGTCCCCGCACGTGCTCGAGCTTCTGATCTGGGGTAGGTAACCACTGCTCTGTAAGCCGAGGATGCTCACTCCGAGACTGAGGATGTAATTACCCACTGGAGGCAAAGGTAGCGGCACCCCTGAGGGGCCGACGACACCCTCTTGCATGAGCTTGTCTCTCATGAGATGAAAGTCATGGTGTCTTGCTGTATACCCGCCGGCCGCCTGGTATAAGTGGAGAAGGTGAGGTACATCTGCATCTTGAAGTTCAGCCGCTGCCTCGTGAACCCGCAGCAGTAAGTCCCATTTGAGCCGCAGCGCATCAAGGGCAGGTGCAGTGTTTGGCGGCGGCACTGTTTTGCTGCGACGTTTTTTCTGCGGTTGACCAGCGTCCATTCTCAGGGTCAATGATGTTGTTGTCAAGGTCGGCTCCCCATCGGGGGCCGCCTGAGTGATGTCCTGATCGGCGGTGGTGGTAGTCGGAGCGTTCGCAGGCATCGGAGCTGACCTTTTGGCCGGAGAAGCTGGTCTGACTTCGGTCGCCGTCGCCGGCCTCACTGGTTCCGCTGGTGCCGCTTGTGCCCCTCCCAGGGTTGTGTCAATGCCCGGCGGGGGAGCTTTGGTACGTTTGGGAACCCACTCCAATTGCTTCGGTGCAGGCGGAGGTCCTCGTCCCAGGCCCCTCCCACTCGCCTTCTTGGACAAAGGAACAGGTGGTGGAGGAGGTAGTCTGGCCTTTGGCAGCACCGGTGTCCAGGAACCAGCATTCTGCGACTCCTTGGGGCGCGATCCAGTGACAGCGGAGTTGGCTGCCGGCGTAGCTGTCGTAGATCCCGTTCCTGAGTTCGTGAAGGCATCTCCGGCACCCGTGGCGGGGCCGTCGACTTGCACCTGCTTTGGCGGTGGAGCCATGCCTGGTCCCACAGTCAACTGCTGCCCTTTCGGCATCGCAGGGGTAGCTGACTGGGACGGTTGAGCTCCGTCCGTGCCCTGGGCCTTGGCAGCAGCTCGTGCTGCTCTTTTGGCGAGTTCGCCGGCTGTTCGGCGTCTGGTGCCATCGGGTCTGTAGTGCTGTCTAGGCCCTCCTGCAGGCCTATACATGATGGAGAAATGCTGCAGGAAGTCAGCGAACCATGTCGGCTGAGAGCTTAGGCACTGGAAGCAATCAAGCACGAACTTGCTAAGGAAGGACCGAGAGGAAAACCTGTCGCGAGAGCTTTGTCCGGAGCGGCGGCGGCGCCCAAGTAGAGGCCGAGCCTGCCAATACCGTGGATGGGGTGATAGCGGTCCCTCAAAAAGAAAGGGTGAAGGCACAAACCACTGGGGTCGTGCAGCCGAGGTGGGAGCTTGATGACAGCGAGTCGGGTGAGAAAGGACCTGAGCATGAACAAAGTCAGAAAGGATCACAGGTGGTCTGATTAAAGAGGGCATGACCTTGCAGGGGTCGAAGCGAGATTTTCTCGAATGTCGCCTGGACTTCGGCACCCGCTCCGGGGCCGGCGAGCGGCCGCGGCTTCCTTCCTGAGGTGAGACACCAATCGCTGCAAAGGCCGCCTTCAGGCGGCCGGGTGATGGAATGGAATCGCCTGGGACGTCATTGGCACATTGCCGGTGCATATATTGCACTTTCATGATGTAGTCGATGGGAATACATCCATTGAAGCCTTCCGTCAGCACCACCGAGTTGGTGCTGACATACAGGCGCATGTTGTCCCGGAGAGCCCGTGGAATGTCGAGATAAAGAAGGATTTCGACATCTTTCCTCATTCCAGAAGTGGCCCTGTGTTGATCTCTGGGTAGGGCCATGGCGAAATGGACATGTTTCCTGGCCCGCTGCCCTCGGTCTCCTCCCGCTCTCAGGCCTTGGTGATAAATCGCGGAGTAATGTCGAAAGTATGTTCCGTGAACAGCCAGCGGCACCTCATGTGGGGCCGTAATACGGGTGAGCAGAAGGTCGTCCTGAACTTGCTGCTGTGAGTGGCCCTGGGTAGCCCTGATAAGGAGCTCGCGACCGTGCCCGCGCCCTTGCCATGACAATTGGAAACGCTGCTTGTCATTGGCGTGCACCGCCTCCTGAATGTCCGTCAGGGTAGCGCCCGCCTGCCGGAGACGTGGGTGCCGCAGTAGCTCTGTCACTGGGATATAACCGTCCTCGCGTACTCGCCCCGTGTGTCGCAAGATCTGCGACATTGCTTTTGAGGTTTCGACCTGCCAGCTCTGGCTTCTTCTCGGCGCTGGTGATCGTGCCGGCGATCTGGAGCGATGGTAGCCCCTTTGGGTACTGCGATGCCGCATTTCGGCTCCCCTTTCGGGGGCCGGCCTCAACCCGTACCTGCTTCCAGAAAGGCGTGGCAGTTCGAGCTGTTCTTCAGAACTGGGATCGTTGAGAACCTCCACACTGTCTCCAGCAGGCTCGTGCTCTGGGGGTTGATCGTCGGCTTCTTCCTCGTCTCTGTCAGCCGGGACCGGCTCCCTTTCGGGGCCGTCCTCATCCTCCTCAGAGTCTGTCGGATCCTGGTCTTGGTCCTGGGCAGCTGCCTGAGCTGCCCGCTCTGCAGCTTTGGCCTTCCGTTTGGCGATTTCTCCTTGGGTGCGCCTGCGGCGGCCATCAGGCCGCCATCGTGATCGAGGGCCGGCCCTCCTCCCCATGGCCGATATGTCCTCCTGATGCTGTTGTGCAGGGGTCCAAGATGGATCGTCTATACTCAGATGGGAGGGAAATCTCAGCAGAGAGGTAAGGGTAATGATTAGAGCTCTGGGAGTGAGAACTTGAGGCCCCGAGAGCCCGATGTAACACAAGGAGCAGAAAATCCCCCTCTTCTGAAAGCCAAAAGATTGCCCGTGAGTTCGCATGATAAAGCCGGAAAGTGCAGGTCGGACATGTGTCTGATCCCGCCCACAGAGGCTCAGAGGCAGACCGTGAGACAGACGCCATGCTTGTAGGTGCAGGCTCCAGCCTGTTCCAGGATAGCTCCCACACAACGGGGTTTGTTGGCTGCAAGAAGTAGCACGGCACCCGGGTGGGGCCGACCGAGTTGCAGGCTGACCTGAGATACGAGGGATGGCAGAAGGCAAGGCTCCCTGTCAGGGGCCGTGAGGCTGCACAGTGAGGGGCTGCACTTAGCATGGGCTGCCCAAGCAGCCGACCGACCTAAGGTGTGAGTAGGCCTTGCTCCACCTGGCAGCCAGAGACAGAAACTCAGCTCATACAGCCGAGGGTGGCAGAAGTGCATGAGAACTCCTAGTTTTCGCGGCTGCCCTGCAACGGGAGAGACGACTCCACCATGGCTGTTCTCTCGGATCGCTCTAGCAGGTTCATGCAGCTCATACGGCTCATGCAGCTCATACGGGTCACTTGGCTCTGCGCGACGATCCAGCCGCTGATGTAGGTCTCGAGGGCGGCTTCTCCTCATCAGTGCTGCCGAACGGGGAGTGGGAATAGTGCACGGGCTGTGGCGGCGGCGGCCCACGGGGGGGGCCGTGTCTCCTCCCGCTCCTTTCGATTTCGGCAGAGTCAGAGGAGCGATCCCGTACCGGCCGGGGTCTCGGCGGAGCATACGGCGGTCCAGCAGACGGTCCCGGCGGATTCGGCGGCACCAGCTCCGTGTCCATTGCATCGACAGCCTCCGAGGAGTCGGTGAACCAGGAGATCTGCGAGGTGCGGCCTGAGGAACTGCTTTGAGAAGAAAGGCGGGTGTCATGCTTGGGAACCTGGCCAGCCGGCTTCCGACCACGACGACGGCTCCCGCAAGGGGCCGTGACTGAACGGGGCACGCTTCTGGGCCTCTTCGCCACACGGCCGGCAGTGCCGGCAATGCAGCTCGATGGCTTGCGTCGGATCGTGGCCCCCATGCCTCCCTACGGGTTGGATCTAGGGCGGGTCCTTGGTTTGAGCAGCAGTCCTGCAGAGGTGGTGTCAAGATTACACAAGGAGCAAGATAACGGAGCAGGCGGTCCCCAAGCAGGGCCGGTGAGGCAAGAAGGTGGTACAAGAAGAAGATGGTTTCCAGAAGAACCTGGATGACCTGAGTTTCGCGATCTGCATTACCAGTACAGCATGTTGAGGCTGCAACGATGCTCGGTGAAAAAGAAGATCGCCTACCTCGTGGCTTCGCACTAGTGTGTGATAGCACTAGGAGGGCTGAATAAGCCGCTCCTGCTGGACCTGAGGCAAGGTATCCAGCAACCCTCGCACCCCTCGCCTGACAAACATCGTTGTCAAAGCCTTAACCATGCGCCTTCGCCCAATCTTTGCCGAAGCCACTAAACTGTGGCCCCGGTACGCTTACACAACTGGCAGAAGCATCGACCATGCGATCATACGTGCCTTGTATCACTGCTCCCAGGTCCAACAAATCCTGGCGTCGCAACGTCTTACACTACGAGAACGTCGTCACACTGGCCGGAAGCCCACCTCTTGTCAAGGGGGAGTAACGCTCTCTATTGATACGAGCAAAGCGTTTGACACTGTCAACAGACAGGTTCTCGAGCAAGAGCTGCGGGCGGCCCGTGTACCGGAGCCGGAGCTGGCAGTTATCCTCAATCTCCACCACTGCATTGGCTACTGGCCTGCAGGCCAGGACCCCCCAACTCGCGTGGCGAGTGAAAGGGGTGTGCGGCAGGGATGCCCACTAGCACCGAGCTTATGGACTCTCATCACCATCGCACTGTTTCGTGCGCTGGCAGGTGTTACCTCCGTCACATGGCTGCAAGAGGACACCACGATGTTCGCGGACGATCTACTACTCCAGTGGATCGTCCACCGAGTTCAGGATTTGGAGAATATGGTGGACATCATCGCCCACACCTTTCGGATCCTAGCTCAGCTTGGCCTTCAGGTTCAGCATCGGAAAACACAACTCATTGTGGCATATAAAGGCAGGCAGGCCACACAATGGTGGCGAGCCCACACGGCCACCACTGCGGAGGGCCGCTTCCTGCTTATACCCCAACCTGGCAGCAAGGCACTCCGCCTGCCCATTGTGACTAAGCTGACGTACCTAGGCATTATCCTCTCCTATGTAGATGCCACCACTGCCACTGTTGACCACCGTCTGCAGGTAGCCGAAGCGCAGCGTGCTCGCCTTCTCAAGGTCCTCCACTCCCGGACACTGCCCACGACTAAGAGAGTCCAGCTCTGGCAAGCTTGTGTTCGGAGCTCTGCTCTGTATGGTCTACACCTAGTCGACTTACAGCAAAGGCATGTAGTCCGGATCACAGTCACCTTGGTTAGGCATCTGAGAGCCATCGCACGCAGTTTTGCGCACATGACTCAGGAATCTAGCAGAGCGCTGCTCGAGCGCCTGAACGTAGAGGACCCCTTACTTTCCTTGCTGCAACGGAGCCAAAAACTTCTTGTCAAGACTCGTGAGTCTAGCGATCCCATGGTCGCCAGGCCTCGGATCATGCACTGGTTGGTTCATTTTACTGAATCCAAACTGGCGCTGACCTCGCACCTGGACCGGACCGTAGCGGAGCCCTTGGTTATTAACCCGTCACCTCAAGATGCTGACCTCCAGTCTGAGGCAATCGCAGCGGCTTCTCCCACGCTCCTGCCCGGCCCCCTGAAAGGGGTGCCGTACGGAGCCCCTGTGGCTGGCAAGCACGGTCCTAGAACCACTCGTTTCTCCTGCCCAACCTGCGACCTCTGGTTTCCGGACCTGGCTACTCTCAAAAGGCACCACAATCAGTTTCCTGAAACCCCCCTACCCAACCCTCTCCTTCAGATGGATGCTGCAGAGGTGCGCAAACACAGCATCGATGGGATGCCCGTTTGTACGCACTGTCGTAAGGACTTCACCACCTGGCACAACTTTAGGAGACATATCACGCAAGGACACTGTACCCAACATCGACAACAGCTGGACCCCTCCTTAGTGATGTCATCCGAGGATACAGTCTCTGCACTACGTAGCCACAATGACCCGGTTCGTGCGCCCTCAGTTCCCACACCTGCCACTGCTGACCCTCCCCAAGAGTCGCTAGGTACCACAGTGCTTGAAGAGCAGATTCCTGCTACAGTGACCGAGGTGACTACGACAGCCACGGCCCCGGTGGTGCCGTACACTGTTGCCGCTCCCACGGGCTCACCGCTCGATGGCTTGCTGCCAGAAAAACCTGAGGACTGGCTACGATTCGCTCGACAGCCCAAAGCTCAGGAGCTTTTGCGGCAATTCTGCACTACGTGCGGACAGTGGCTCGTATCGGTCAAGAGCGTCAAGTTGCACTATCGCTCAGTGCATCAGGCTCTATATACGACGCATGGTGCGTCTGCGGCAGCAGATTGCCGAAAAATGGGGCATCTCATTTCACCCTGCGTCTTTTGCGGCACTAAGGTTACACGAACCGACCAGCATGCTGCAACATGCCCGGTCCTTTGGCAAGCCCGCATCTGTTGTCTTGCTCAGAGTAGCTTGGTTTCACCTGCCCCTGCTCTGATCGCCCCTCCCAATTGCGATGGCGACGGAGAGCTTGCAAATGGATCTCGACCAGGAAGAACAGAGTGTGTTTGGAGGGCTTCTAGGGAAAAGAGCCCTACAGACAGACTTGACAGAGAATCCAACCAAATATCAGCATCCAGGAGGCAAAGGCCCTCCGCCGAATCGGAGCAGCGGAACGCGCCAACAGCAGCAACTGTTGACGGGACGCGGCCGCCATGCGGCCCCCTTTCAGGGGAACCGGGGCAGCGACGTCCCAGACAATCGCAATGGACCCTCCAAGATGCCTTCGGGAGATCATGCTCTGCTACATCGAGTCGCAAAGGCCCTCATCGTCCAAGCGGACTATCTGTCGCGCCTTCAGAGCGATCACACTGTCATCTTCACATTTCGAACAGGCAACGGCCCACAGCTGATGGTGCCGCTTCTCCAGGAGGTGGCGACAACTTGGCGCGAACAACGACAGCAGAACAAGGTGACCCGCTCCTTGAAGCAAACTCTCATCCAATATCTTGCCGCCGAACTGGTGACCAGGATCAATGCCTTCTCAACCGACACCGAATCCCAGAAGAGGGCTCAGGAACTAGGATGGATCACGTCGGAGGGGGAGTTCAACTTCTTGGACTGGGACTTCGAGGACAAGAAGCTCGTCCCCCGGCAGGAGGTGATGCTTACTCACGATCAAATCCTCACCGATGCCAAGAGACTCAAAGCCCTGCTGAAGAATCCAGACCTAGTCTTGAAGTTCAGCGGAGGCCGCAACGCCAAGCCCGACTCGACATCCGAGACAGCGACATTTGTGTTGGAGCTGTCCATGCAGCAACCAGAAGCATCGGAGGCGATGGCGATCTTCCGGAAATGGTATGCCAACTCAGCGCTCCTGCTCCTCTCTCTCCGGCTCAAACCGGCCCGCCCAGAGCGGTCGCCGTTGATCAAGGAGATCCAGGAGGCCGTGGGATGGTAGATGGCAGGGAACTCAGATCTGTGTGCATTCCTGCGGCACTGCTACATCTTACACTGCACAACCCAGACAATCTTTGTTACATAAATGCCACTGCGTATCTGCTAGCCTACATTCAACACCTTGCAGGACCCTGTGCTCCAGTCCATGGCACCCAGTCTCTTGAGCGATCACTGCAAGATTTGTTGAATGCTCCTGTCCCTACACCTGGAGAGCGGATCACCATCCCTGACCTTCCCGGGTGGCACTCTTCTCTCAGAGGCTGGACGAACCTGCATCGCCAGCAAGATTGTCTTGAGCTCATACATCACTTATTTGACCAACACTGCCCAGCACACATGCGATGTCAGTGGGAGGCACGACCGATACCAGGTACTGTTGCGGCACGCAGACCCCTTATCAGTGGTCTCTTCAACATTGACCTCCCTCTCCCTAAGAAAACCTCCAGTGCCACCATCCAAGAATGCATTATCAGCTGGCACGAACAGAAGATTCCCCACGGCCTTCTCCATGCACCGCCCTACCTGCTCACCAGCCTTGCCCGATATGCCAACCCCACCAAGGGGAAAAACAAGACGCGTATCCCCTGTAAGGCCATGCAGCGAGTCAGTTTCCCTGTCTTTCGAGGTCCTGGACATGAGATCCAATGGGCCACCTACGAACTGGTGGCGGGGATTTTACACCTGGGGCCCTCGCCCCAGCAAGGCCACTATCGTGCATTTCTTGCGCATCCACGTGATGCCCAAAACTTTGCATCCCAGGTGTCTGCAACTTCACGGCCAGGAGATGTGGCACCTGCAAGTGCATCGGGGATTTCGGCCCCCTCGGGGAGACCGTCGGCCCCTTCGGGGAGCCTGACCTACACCTGGTGGTGTACAGAAGATGGTCAATCGCCCGAGCTGTGTCATCCAACATATGCTCGGATCCTGAGTGAGAATTGCTATATTCTCGGCTTTCGTCTCACTAAGCTTTGATCTGTATAGCCAGTGATGCCGGTGTTAGAGTTAGTATCGAACTGCGGACTGCAAGTCCATGTAGTCAGAGCTCGATTTCAGTTTCAGTCTCAGCTCATCGAGCTGATATTGTCTGAGGCGATGTACATTACAGCTCTCGTTAGCCGCGCTGAATTCATTTCTGAATTCGGCGTGTCGCCTACGCCGCGCAAGGGACCAGGGGACGGTTCTGCGATCGCAAAGTCAAAAAGTCTCTCTCTCTCTCTGTCTCTCTCTCTCTCTCTCTCTCTCTCTCTCTCTCTCTCTCTCTCTCTCTCTCTCTCTCTCTCTCTCTCTCTCTCTCTCTCTCTCTCTCTCTCTCTCTCTCTCTCTCTCTCCCCTCTCTCCGCTTGTTTCTGAAAAGTGTCTGCCCACCCGGCCTTAGAAGGTGGCTGGCCCAGCTCATCCGTGAAGACGGGCTTGTTCGGTCCCTTTTACTGAAGCAGGTCGGCCATGAGGTGGAACGGGCACATGCTGGCTGGAAGCACGGAACACGAGCAGGCGTGTTTCCGTGTGGCGCCCAAGGCTGCTGTGTCCGTTTGGACGAGGGCAGCAACCACTCGAGAGTCAGGTCCAGCTTGACGTGGCGCACTTTTTCTCGAGATCCCTCGATTTCGCGTACGAGCCACCAAGCCGCCACGATGGTCGAAGTGACGGGCTTGACTGGGCCGGCTGGCACGTTGCCGATGTCCCCAGGCAGTGACCCTAGCCTTTCCATGGGAAGTGCGGCTGCCTGTTTGGCTGGACCGAGTCCTCGCCTACAGGATCTAGCGCACACCCGGTATGCTAGGGCATGTTGTCCTGTCCAACCGTGGCCTTGCTGGATGTGCTCCTGCTTGGCTAGGTCGAGGTACTGCGTGGCGGATCTATATCCCGCCTGCTTGAAACCGCCCATTATGGTGTACATGCCATCTGGCGTCAAACAGAAAGGTTCTAGGTTTGCCTTGACGGACATGCCCTCCCGGGTGCGAAGTCGAGACTCTACAGGGCCGATGGCAGTCGAGGCCCTGGAGTCGGCCAAGAGCGCTGTCCTACAGTTGTTGGGGTCGCTCAGGGCTTCTAGGGCTTTTGCCGTCGAACCCCTACCATACGGCTTGGCCTCGCCGGCTCCATGCCTATCGCGACTGCTTCCTGGCCTGTTTTCCCGACCCCCTTCCCCCTCAGCAGCCGCGGTCACGTTGGGCCGCGTCAACGCAGGGTTGTCGTGTAAAACCGGGGAGCGCCACGGGTTTAGGGGACGGTGGGGGGGATTACTTATCGGCCAGAACGCTGCGCTGAAAGACCTCTTGGGCTTGGGCATCTGCGGCGGTCGAACTCCAGGAAGGCCTGCAGCAAGCAATGCTGGCCGAAAGACTCGGGTCACCCTTTACTTGGCCAAACGGAGCTCGCGCCTATACCGGCCACTCTGCTAGAGCTACCGGTGCTCAGTACCTCGCTGCCAGAGGGATCGAGCTTTGGCGCATCCAAATATTTGGCCGGTGGGGCTCGGATGCCATCCTGCGCTACATTCGTGAAGCACCTTTTGTAATTCCGGCAAACTCGCTTGGCTGAAACCTCTCAACGATATGTCGGCTCCAGGGGCCGGCGTACGTACTGACAATCAGTGCTCTGGGGAATGCGCACGGAAAGCCGCATCTGCTCTCCGGAGAATTGTCTTTACAGTGGTAGCGGAGCGCCTGGCTACGACCAGGTGCTTAGGGGGTTTAGTGAGCACGAGCGATCCTCTGGAAGGCGGATTTCGTTTTGACGCGCTAGCGGAGTAGCGCGGCCGACATGGCATAACAAAGTGCCGCCGATCTTCCAGTGCCGGAAGATGACGTGGAGGAGACACAGCCCGGGATAGGAGCTGTGGACGAGCAGGCGGAATTCGAGCAGTTCCGTCAGTGGATGCGACTCCGAGGTTGAGGACGGCACGATGACCGATCGAGCCGACGGTCTCGTGAAGCCAGCCGCCGACGGGCGGACGATGATGAAGATGATCAAGGCGGGGATTTCAGGACAAATGTTGGACCGCCGCCCCCATGGGACGGAGCAGAGTATCCCTTCGAGGACTATCTGATCAGGGCGAAGAGTTGGGTGAGCACAACCAAGGCTCAGGCCAGAACGCGTGGGCCCTCCTCCTGAAGGCCTTGAGCGGGACGCCTTTCCAAGACCTCAAGCACTTGGCGAAGGATCCCCGATGGTTGGCGGACCCGAATTACGCTGAGACCCTGTTGACTCAGATGGATGCTCCGGAGTACTATGGAGATGATCAGGAAGAGCACCTCCTGGCTTCCTTGTCAAGGATCAGGTATCACTTGAAGCGCCAACGAACCGAGAACGCGCGCCAGTTCTTGGCTCGCTGGGAAGCTGCGGAGCGGAAGGTGCAAGAGCACCGAGTGGCCCTCCCTTCCATTTATAAGGGATTTCTGCTGATCAATGCGTTGGGCTTGGCCGAGGCAGACATCAAGGCCGAACTTCACGCAGGGTTCGATCGAGCGGAAGGATGTCAAGCATTGGCTTCGAAAACACGAAGCCAAGTTGCAGGCCAGCCAGTTGGGCAACGAGACCAACACCAAGAGCAACAAGCCCAGCAGCTCGGCAGTGCACCTGATGGAAGACGAGGCCGAGGATGGCGAGGACCTCGCATCCCCGGAGAAGGATGGCGACGACCTAGAGGCCATGGAGACCCTCCTTGCGGACTTGATGGACGAGGAGCTCCCGGAGTCGAGTATCTTCGAAGAGCAGGAGGCGGCTGAGATACTCTCCATGATGATCAAGGAGAAGCGGAAGACCTTTGCCCAGTCCTCCCAGCTGAAGAAAGATCGAGAATTGGGCCGGACGTACCTCGATGGGTCCGATCCGACCCGGTACGTATCGACTTTCGATCGCGGAACTGAAGCAGCGGACGCGCTGCCAGAAGTGCGGTCGGATTGGACACTGGAAGCGAGAGTGTCCAGGCACGGCCGGTGGATCTCAGGCTGCAGGTGAGAAGGAAACCCACCTCTTGGAGGTGGACGTTGCGGAGTATGAGGACTCGGTGACTCGATGTTTTGCCACCTTCTCGAAGTCATCTCCGATGAGGCTCTAGACCCGAGGCCGGACCAGGCCACCGGCCAGTTTATGAATCAGGAGGCAGAGCCAAAGGGCTGCGACGCCTATTTTGAAACTTGTTTCATTTGGCTTTATAGCTCAAGCTATGTTTCAAATGCGACGTTGCTTTTGAAACTCGCTTTTCGCACAACCTTCTTTGAACCTGGGGGGGGCAAACAATCCGACTTTTAACCTTTTGTTTTGCCGCGAACTCTCGTCCTGATGCGAACCTTGATGTTGATCCTGTGAATGACTTCACATTCGGCAGTCATTTGTGGATCGAGTTCGCCATCTGGCGAGATTCGAAATTTTTGTGTGAGGCCCTCTAGAGGTTTGTATCACTTTCTAGAGGGCTCTGTGGCTTCTGTAACCCAAGGTTCCGCCCTTAGGGCTCGTGCAAGCTGGGCCCCTGAAGGGCCAGCGGATGTCGGACGGTGCTGCCTCTGACTCGGGTTCGGCCACCAGTTCAGTGGAGCTTCTTAGCTCACATTTGCATCGCTTGCAGCTTGATCACAACAGCCTGGAGCATCGCTTTCTGCAGGCCATTGCACGCATTGAGGTCCTTGAGCAAGAGCAAGCCAGACAGGCCTCCAGATTGCAGTGGCTAGAGCAGCTCATCCATCGAGCTCGGGCTTGCTTCTCGGGGGTGCTGTTTTCTGCTGGCGGGCCGCCTTCACTTCCTTCTGCCAGTTGAGTTGGGGGTTGCGGTGTCATCATGAAGCGGTCGGCCGACCATGCATATGAGCAACATCTTGATGAGGTACTCCGAGGTTGTAAGAGCCGGTTCGTGCAGCCCTGGGAAAGGTCCCCCGTGCTTCAGCCTTTCAGGTTGTTTCCCCAGCTTCCCAGGCATCAGCAGGTGGCAGTTGCCGTGCCGCTCGGCTCGTCGAGCAGGCCAGCCACTCCACCCAAGGATGCTGGCCAAAGTTCTATGTCACATGTCGGGCCCAAAGCAAAGACTCTTGGAAAGTCCTGGAAAGCCAAGATGTCTGACAACAGGCTTGCTGCGCTTGTAAAGTGGGAAAGGATTGTGGAAGCTCACTCCGAGCACTTTGGCTTTGTCGCCGAAGCCCGCCGTGAGCCTGAGCTGGCTTCGTACTCCTTGCGTGATGTCTTGAGTGATATTTTCTCGGTGAAAGCCAGCACCACTTTGCACACCCGGTCAGGCCCCCTGCTTAGGTTCCTTAAGTTCTGTCACGACGAAAGGCAAGCCCCTTTCCCGCTTCGCGAGAGCTTGATTTACTACTTCCTCAAGCAGTATGGTGCTAAGCAGGCCCCCACGTTTGCCAGCAGCTTTCTGGGGTCACTGGCGTTTTGCCACCACTTGTTAGGCCTTAAGTGCCAGGACGAGTTTTTCTCCACCAGGGTTACGGGTGCAGCTCGAGGCCTTTTCCTTGAGAAGAGAAAGCTTGTGCAGAAGCCCCCGCTTCTGACTGCCTTCGTTCTTGCCTTGGAAAATATCGTTCTCGGACAGGGCGATTTCAGCTGGGCGGACAGGTACGCTGCCGGATGCTGCCTTTTTGCAATCTATGCCCGTGCGAGGTTCAGTGACATGCAGTCTTGTGGAAACATCTTTGAAGATATTGCCTACATTGATGGCAAGCCTCACGGATTCTTGCAAGCCGACATCACCAGGACCAAAACTGCATACACTTTGGAGAGGAAAACCAAGTACTTGGCAATGTGCGCTCCGATTTGGGGCTTGGCGGAGAAGCCGTGGGCAATCGCTTGGAGGGCTATCGCTAAGGATCACGGCCCCCCCTGCGGGAAGACTTGCCACTGTTGCCCTCACCTGTGGAGGGTGGGGGATGGCAGGAAACACCTGTCAGTGTTGAGGTTGGGGCCCGTTGGCTCCGCAGCCTCCTGCATCGCATGGGACTCGAACCTGCTTCTGCGGTTAGGCTTCTAGGGACCCATTCGATGAAAGCAACGGTTTTAAGCTGGGCCGCGAAGTGGGGCATGTCTAAGGAACTGCGTATGATCTTGGGGTACCACAGCTCCTCTACATCCCACAGCGACGTGGTCTACGGCAGAGACAACGTAGCCCCCGCGCTGCGAGAGCTAGTTTCTATGCTTCAGTCCATTGCCCAAGGTTCCTTTAGACCGGATGCCACTCGAAGCGGCATGTTCATATCGATTCCAGCTCCTGCGGAGTCCGGTGATGGAGATGACATCTCTCTCTCTCTCTTCTGAAGGCAGCGAAGACGAGGAGAACAAGGACCCCGCCGCCGAGGACGAGGCCGTCGATTCGGTCGTGGGCCTTTGGGAGCCCTCGGAGGGGGTCCGTGAGACTCTTGAAAAGGCTCCTGTCTTCAGGCATGAGGTAACAAGGTTCCTTCACATTGTGGCGTCTGAGGAAGGGTCTCATTTCAAGTGCGGGAGAAAGATCTCAACCTCTTATGTGCGTTGTGAGAGCTTGCCGAAAGTTTTGTTTCCAGTATGCAAGCAGTGCTGTCCCGACGTGAAACCGGTCGAGGCGGGCACTGATGCGGGATAGTCTTTTGCTGTCGCAAGGGCGACACAACGAGGGGCGATTTTGTGTGCTTAAAGAGTTGCTTGCTCGCTTTCATGACGGTTCCAGTCTCTTTTGCAGGAGGGGCGAGTGATTCAAGTTGAACAGTCCATGCTGAAGTCATTGCACATGCTTAGGCCTGGGCTTCTGCCTCCTTTTTGGAGACCTGAGAGAGTGCTTTGAGGGATCAGATGAGGGAGCAGGTACTCTTGTGAATGCTCCTTCGGAAATGTGTCTCAAGGCGCCAACTGGCGGAGGCAGCAACATGGCCGCTTCTTACTCAGATAGCCGTAGTGTTTTCGATGCCAGGGTAGACGCATGTGGATTGCCGAGGGAAGATGCTGCGAAGGTCAAAGCGGCGGTGGGTTCACTTCGGCAACTTGCCTTCATATCCAGCTTTACTCCGGGTCAAGCGGATGAGGCCCCACTTATGGCTGCTCTGAAGTCGATGTTGGGCCGTGATGCTGAATTGGCTGTTCAAGCTAGCTTCAGGGCATTGTACCACGAGGCTTATGCTATTGTTACTTCGGAGATGCGCCAAAAGATCGAGAAGAGTGAAGAGCCCACGGCGAGGAGGCTCACCCAGCCCGAGCGTGCCGAGAGGCATGAGAAGCAAGTCGCGAAGCTCGTGGGTGTACTTATCAAGGGCCCTTCGGAGCCCAGCGAGGCTCTCGTCGACAAGGCCGTTTCAGCTTATGAGCAAAATGAGCTGAGGTACATCTCTTGGGAATCTTGCACCTCCCGGGAGCAAGAAGTTGCATCGGAACGTAAGAAGGATACTCGCTTTACGATCGATGAGCATTCCGGGAAGCTTAAAGTTGAGAATAAAGATGCTGAGGACAAGGCCTCCACTGCTTCGGAGGTCCATGTGCTCCAGGCTTTGCAGAGGCGATCACTTGCCCTGGATCAGGCAAATCTTGTTGAGTACACCCTGATGCAACAATGGTCGGACCGCCTGTTGCGAGCCAGGATGGACGATCCACCGCCCCAGTACAGCCGTCCGTCTTGGAGCCAGCTTGTGGCTGCAGACAAGAAGCTCTTCAGTGAGCTGAGGGATCTGACGAGAGACGGAGTTCAGTCATCAAGTGGAGGGGCGCGCCCGCTTGACAAGCGCCTCCCTGCTGTGATGATGTCGTATGATGTGGTCTGCTTGCTCCAGCCCATGCCTCAGTCGGCCAGTGGGCGGAGCTCCGATGATTCCGGCAAGGAGCGCCCCGCTCCCTACACTCCCAAGGGTCCTAGAAAGGGCGCTGGGAAAGGCAAAGAGGGCAAGGGAAAGGGACGCATGCCTGCACAGCTTATCGCTTGGGGCTGCACTTCGAGTACCAAGAAAGGAAATCCTTACTGTTATGGGTTTCAGCTTGGCAACTGCCCAAATGCTGTGACCAACAATGACAATGCCTGTGTGAGAGGCTTGCATGCTTGTGCCATCCCGAAGTGCGGGCAGCACGGGCACGGGGCCTCCGCGTGCCCGAAGAGGAAGCAAGAGTGACGGTGCCAGGCGAGCACAACGACGAATGATTCGTCAGAGTCAATCGGTCGTGTGGCCGGTGTTGGCCAGTCAGGAAATGATTCGGATGCCCAAGCCAGTCAGAGCTTGGGACCGGAACACTTCCTCGGCGGATCATCTCTCGAAGCGGATGCATGTGGGCAACCAGCTTCCAGTTCTCCTCGGCACGATAAATTTTCCGCGATTCTTCAAAAGTGCCTGAGCTTTTTCGACAGCCTCCCGCACGAGTCAGTTGGGACCAAGACCGAATCTCATCGTGACCGGGTTGGGAAGGCTTTTTACAGCGGGATGTATTCTAAGGGTGTCGTAGGGCTGCGAACTTCGGTCCACCGGCACCCCGAGGAGGTGAAAGTTCTGACTTCGTTGATTCGTGCCGTCGACCCAACGATGCTGTTTTCCAGTTTGGTCGTCACCGAGGATTCTCAAGTTGGCGCCCACAAAGATGCTCAGAACGTCTGCATCCAGAACTTGGTCATCCCGATGACTCGTTTTGGGGGAGGCGAGCTGCTTCTAGAGGATCCAAAGGGTTCCTTGGTTCAGAGGGGTGAGATTTCTTTTAGGGCTCGCGCCGTGTCCTTGGATCAGGGACATATTGCATTTGATGCCCGCTCTGTTAGGCATTCCGTGAACCCTTCTCGCGGTCGGCGCGTTGTCTTGATCGCTTACTGCTTGAAAGGCTCGGACCGCCTTGCAACAAAAGATTCCCAGTTGCTACGCAGTCTGGGGTTCGCATTGCCGGAGCAGGAGCCTGCTGAGGTTCCTCTCCCCGCTTTCACAGTCGGTTTTCCTGATTTTAGGCCCGCTCTTGGGTTTAGTCCCCCCGGCCCTAGTGCGCCTTCTATGGGTTTGTCTTCGGTTAAAGCTTGCCCTTGGTTGTGCCTAGAGTTGTTTGCCGAAACTGGCAATATGACTTCTGCTTTGCGGAGCTTCGGGTTCCAAGCCCTTCCCTTGGGGCGCCGTGCAAAGGGGCCTATACACGTGACCCCGCTGGACCTCTCCCGCGCCCTGTCGTGGCAGTACGTGAAGAGGCTTGTACAAGCCGGGGATGTGTTTGTGGTACATCTTTCCCCACCGGCTCGCGGCTCGTTTGCGGATGCAGTGGCACCACTGGTCGCTGACTTCTGCTGTTGGCTCCGCTCCGAATTTCCTTCTGTGCACTTCTCAGTTGTGTGTCCCGCCTCAGCGGCGCTTTGGAAACAGTCTGGCTTGCTGGATCTTCAGCGGTCTTGCGTTCAGGTCTCCTTTGCTGCCGCCGACTGCGGTCCCGGGCCACATGAGAACTTTCTCTTGATGTCTTCACTTCCCGAGCTTCGGGTTTTTGAAACTCCGGCCGATGCCTCAAGGATCTCCGGGGGCCCGGTTCGCGCGGCTTCTGTCGCTGCGCCGTCGTTCGTGCATACGAACCACTTTTGTACTAAATTTGCATCTGCCCTCGCCGTGGCCGCCGGTCAACTTGACACTGTGCCGACGCCAGCCCTTGTTACCAATGCTTCGGCCCGTGCCGCCAATCAGCTCTAGCCGCGTGTCTCAAGGGCCGTCGTGCTGGTCGAGGAATACCATTATCAAGTTACCGTGCCCGCGCCTTCGGGTGCCCTGCCCTCTCTTGACCCTAAGAATTGCCTCGTGGAGGCATTTAGGCCCCGTTCCTGCCGGCTCTCGGGTTCTTAGGGTTAATTTTGAGGCGGGTGTAGTTTTCCCTAAGCGCCCTAGACCCGACCGGAAGGTTTCCTCTCAGCTGTCTGACTTGGGAATCGGAAAATTGGTTTCCATCACGTGTGGAGTCTACCGAAGCCCTCTTCAGTTTGCGGAGCGAGCTTTGAATGTTGGCCATCCTTGTGACATGTGCAGGGCACTGCCCGATCAAGCTATGGTCGTCCTGGGCCATCTGCTCATCGAGGGTCCTGTCAAGGTCCTCAGACGGAGATTGGATACGATAACCCAGTGAAAAGCTTGGGCAGCCGAACTGGAACCGGCCGAGGCTGAACTGCACAAATCCTTGGCCCCTTCTGTGGCCGAAGTGGTCAAGGGAAAGCGCCTGCTCCTCCTTGATCGCATAGCCAAATCCCTGCAATGGCTTGACACCCGCTTGCACCAGGATATGACCAGTGGTTTCAAGATCGTGGGCGAGGAGTTCCCGAGCGGAATTTTCCCCCTTGAGCCTCGACCAGCGACCCTCACGCCTGAGGAGTTGCTGGCTCAGTCTCGGTCAACCAAGCCCTTGATCTGGGAACAGATCAACGACGCTCCGCTGGATGCGAACTCTCGCGAGCTTTTTGAAATCACTGAGGCTGAATACCGCGAGAAGGGATGGCTTGAGCAACCACGCACTTGGGAGGAACTTGAGCTTTTGTTCGGGGATTGGCTCCCGGCCAAAAGATTTGGTGTACGCCAACGCGACAAATTGCGCCCCATCGACGACTTAGCTGCCAACGGTGCAAACAGCGCATTTGCCGCTTGTGACAAGCTCACCTTGCGTGCCTTCGACGAGCTTAATTGGTGTGCCACTTACATCATGCGAGCACTTGTGCAAAAAGGAGCCGTCCACCTTGTCCTCTCCTGTGGTCGGGTGATCTCGGGACCCCTTCACGACTTCTGGAGGATCAAGACCGACCGTGCCCGCCCCTTGTTGAAAACTATCGACTTGAAGGCGGCGTACAAACAGCTACCGCTCCACCCGGAGCATCGCAGGTTTTGTGTGGTCGCCTTGAAACATCCGGACAGCGGCCAAGTGCGGGGCTACGCATCGAGAGTCCTGCCCTTCGGGGCCTCGGGGAGCGTGACTTGCTTTAACAGGGTTGCACGCCTGATCCAACGGATTCTTCAGGAAGCCTGGATCTTGAACTGTAACTATTTTGATGATTTTCCGGTGTTGGAGTTATCCGCCCTGTCGGGGAGCGCCGACTCCACTGCCCACTGCATACTTGACCTACTCGGCTTCGAGTGCTCTACCGAGAAGGAAGAGCCGTTCAAGAGCAGTGCCGACGTCTTGGGAGTCACGGTAGACCTCTCTTGTGAAGACTTGTCCGAGGTGCGTGTGCGCAACCGGGAGGTAAAGTGCTGTGAGGTGCCTCTGTCGATGAGGTTCTTGATAGGGGCGCCATCCGGTCTGCGGAAATCGCTTCTCTCTTCGGGAGGATTCAGTTTCTTGAAGGGCAACTCATGGGACGCCTGGGGCGACTGGCTTTGTCTGAGCTTCGCTCCCTCGGGACTTCCGGGGGAATCCTCAAGCTCGGGGACTGAGAACGTCATGCCTTCCAGAATCTTCGTGAGCGTTTGCTTCATGGGCCGCCCCGGGCGATCTCCGCTCGCCCACCTGGGGCGAATGTTATTGTGTTTACAGACGGAGCTTGCGAGCCGGAGGGTGATAGCATGCTGTGCTCCATCGGTGGGGTGCTGTATGTTGAGAGCTCCGGCAAGTGGGCCACTCGATACTTTGGCTGCCGACTGCCCGACTCGCTTGTTAAGACTTGGAGTGCTTCTGGGAAGAAACACTTGATAGGGCCTGTTGAATTGTACGCAGTGACCACGGCAAGACTGTTGTGGCGAGAGTATCTTGATTTCGCCAAAGGCATTTTCTTCATCGACCACGCCGGTGTGCACGCCGCGTGCGTCAATGGATCGTCGCACGATCGTCTCTGGCGGCTCATCCTTTTGAAGCTTGAGGAAGCGGATGCCAAACCTATGATCGCCTGGTATGCCCACGTTCCCAGCCAAAGCAATCCTGCAGACCCTCCGTCTAAGGGGTCCGGCCTTTTCCCAGTTTGGGGCACATGCTCGAGGGATCATCCGAAGTGCTGCATATCCGGCGAGCTCTTGAGTTCGTTTGGTGAGACGGGAGTTTGTTGAACGAGCTCAATCCTCGTGAATGATGCTCGATCGGCTATCTCTCGAGTGTCGGATCTTTCCCGAATCGGCTGTGCCGCCTTTCAAGAAAAAAAGAGTGAGTCCGATTGCATGTGCATTCTGCAATGCTGCAATTGTCTGCACATTTATATTCTCGTGCAATATATGATTGATTGATTGTTTTGAGAATGACTCTTTTCAAATATTATATTCTTGCGAAAAGTAGCTTTAGCTATAAGCCTATTTTGAAACTTGTTTCATTTGGCTTTATAGCTCAAGCTATGTTTCAAATGCGACGTTGCTTTTGAAACTCGCTTTTCGCACAACCTTCTTTGAACCTGGGGGGGGCAAACAATCCGACTTTTAACCTTTTGTTTTGCCGCGAACTCTCGTCCTGATGCGAACCTTGATGTTGATCCTGTGAATGACTTCACATTCGGCAGTCATTTGTGGATCGAGTTCGCCATCTGGCGAGATTCGAAATTTTTGTCCCACCCAACCCACCCGGGAGTTTGTTGAACGAGCTCAATCCTCGTGAATGATGCTCGATCGGCTATCTCTCGAGTGTCGGATCTTTCCCGAATCGGCTGTGCCGCCTTTCAAGAAAAAAAAGAGTGAGTCCGATTGCATGTGCATTCTGCAATGCTGCAATTGTCTGCACATTTATATTCTCGTGCAATATATGATTGATTGATTGTTTTGAGAATGACTCTTTTCAAATATTATATTCTTGCGAAAAGTAGCTTTAGCTATAAATAGGACCGAATCGCCAGGACAGTCCGATTTCCGAGCTCGATTACATGTCATGTCGCTTGCATGAGATATGGTACAGTGACAGTCACATGTTCGAAGATGCTGCCTGTGCTACGTTAGACACCAACGAACTGCGGTAGGAATCGACACTCTCGAACAGATGAAACCATGTTGGCTTACGGAATTGAAGTGGTTTAGGCAGGCTGAGGTGAATCGTTTTCGGTCGGTTCATGGGGTGTCCCAGACGTCTTACAACGCGGTGCTGCCATGTAGCCTAGGACCCAAGGGGTGTTATCTGAAACCAGCGGTATTTGACCGGGGTCATAGTGCTAAAGCGCCTTTTCTTATTTCTCTGAAGTTCTTACTCCAAGGAGATGCCATCTTGAGCTTAGTCCATGGCAAACTTATGCTAATTCTTAGAAAGCACGCTGCCAGGATCCCGTTGTTCATTGGACCCACAGGAGCCCTGCGAATCCCTCTGAACAACTTCAACGCCACGATGCTCCGAGCCTTGAAAAGCGCCGACGGCAAACTTCAGTCGAGTGACACACATGAGTTCGAGATTCTGTCGCTTGGTGAGCTCGCAAGTCCCCCGGAGGGAAAAGATCTTGATCTAGGTAGCAGTAGAGCGGCCCCGACAGGACCTCAAGCCAGCCATGGACTGCTCCTCGCCGACCAACAAGCGCGCCCGGCCGGAGAACAAGGACCCAGCTCGGACCGCCCGAGCGCTGGACGCCTGGCGCAACTTGCTGCTCCGCGTCTGCGTGATCTTCCGACCGGTGATCCAGTTGATGGTTCACTTGGTGGGCAGCTCCCTCGACCGCTCCTACCTCCATGTCAAACAGAATGCCAAGGAGTTCCACCTGGCGCGGCTGGAGGAGCTCAAGGTCACCATCGACGAAGCGATCCTGACCAAGACCAACGAGGACCGGGAGCTGTTCAAGAAGTTCCAGAATTGGCGACGCGAGCAAAGCAACACGTCAAGAAAGTCGGTCACCGAGTCCGATTTCGAGATGGTGGAGAAGGCCACCTCGTCGGCGATGGCAGTGGCAGTGGACTCCATCTCGGAGTACACCCACTGGAATGGAGCCACGGGGAGTCGGGGGCGAAGACTCTCGACGATCCTGTCTCCAACTCGGAGCACAGACGAACCGCGGGGACCACCAACGCCAAGGCCGGTGAACCAGCCCAGCCGGGCGGTTCTCAAAGACCGCGTCAGCGACCTCCTCGAACGCCACAACGGATACGAAGGTGACGGACAAGATGAAGCAGCAGGAGATCTTCACCTTCGGAGCCCGCCTTCTGGGGAACGACCTGCCCCGATGCCATTGCGGCAACCCATGCAAGATGGAGCTCAGCATGACGCCGGCCAACTACCAGCGTGTGTTCGTCAACTGCGCCCAGCGCAGACAAGATCAATGCGGGATGTTCCGATGGTGCGAACACCAGCCCCTGCTGAGCGACGAGTTCAAGGACACGCGAGCCCGCGTGAGGAGGGGACTCACGGAGGACCACAATTTGAGGGAGTTCTTGGTCAAGATCCTCCAGGACCTCTGCGGTCACAGCGCCACGATTCAGTCGGGGTCCAACACGTTTGTGACAAGGGTGCGCTGTCGGACCTGCCACAAGCTACTGAGTGTCGAGGCGAAAAACAAGGTTACGAACAGCCCGTCCGGGCTGACACCGAGCCCAAGCCAGATGACCGAGGAGAGCAAGACCAGCGACGGGGACAGCAGCAGCCACACCGCGGACTACCAGGAGTTTCTGGCATGGAGACGTGGACGCCAGTAGGCCGACATGAGAATCGGCAACTGCACAGCTCTGTGACACGGGCGCACCGCCAGATGACATTCGAGTTTTGCAGATGGAAGCAGAACAGCTTCCTATCAACCGGGAGGACCGGCTCAAGGATTTTTCAACGAACGACAAAAAGGATCGTCGAACTTGGGAGCAAGCCTTGAATTGCGGTCTAGGTTTGTGCAAGGCGAAGGCAAAGAGTTTCTGGGAGCAGGAACAGTCAGGCGTAGATCTTGCTTTGTTGCCAGTGCGAGCGAACTGTCATGAGTTCTTGCACGCACTCAGGAATGCTATCGATTCATGTGTGTCATGTTTGGTCATTGCGATGCCGGAGTTTTCTGAAAACGGGGTTGAGTGTGACTTGATGACCAGGCTTCTTGAGCAGGGGTGTCGCAAGGCGGTCAAGACCATTCCACATGTGGTGTTGCTACAGGACGGAACTAAGCCGATGAGCGTCTGTGTGAATGCTGAACTCCCACACCGCAGCTGCGGCGGGGACATGCAGGTGGCCACCACCTGGGAGGCGGCACACAAGGTGCTGCAAAACATCCAAGCCCTGAGCGTGCAAAGTGTCCGGTCCATTCTGCGTAGCCTCCTTGCGACCTGTCGCCATGTGCCGCGGAACGAAGTTTATGAACGAGACCTTCTTCAAGAAGAACAGGAGCACCGACGACGGCGGCAGCTCTACGGAAGCGAGATGACTCGGGCACCAGACGAGAATGAGATCTATTACCACGCACAAGGCTAGACGAAGCCGGAAGAGTACGAGTACCCGATCAATCGACCGGAAGGAGAAGGCCACGAGATTGATGAACCAGAACCTCGTCCAGTACCCGATCCTCCGGAAGAAGAAGCCGCAGAACGAGCACAAGCACCACAAGGAGTTCGATTACCCGATCAACCGGGAGGAGAAGGCAACGAGATTGGCGAACCAGAACCACGTCCAGTACCCGATCCTCCGGAAGGTGAGCAACCAGAGCTAGGCGACGAAGAGAAGGCACTTCCAGGAAGTCGGCAGAGGACACTTCTACAGTTGGTACGTCGAGCCCATGATGGTCTAGGACATCCTCACCGAGAACGCTTTCTACGAATCCTGAAGGCGGCCAAGGCATCGGATGACGTTATCAAGATCGCCCAGAACCTCAAGTGCAGCGTGTGTGAAAGGTTCCTTCAGACACGGCCCCCGAGACGGGCGGCCCCACCACGCGAGTTTGGAATCAACGAGGTCATTGGCATGGACACCGTGTGGCTGCCCACAGTTGGACAAAAACGCAAGAAGATCGCGTTGAACATCATCGACCATGCCTCCCACTTCCAGATGGTGATCCCTTTGAAAGGACGCAGCCCGGAGGCTGTCTGGAGCGCCTACCGACAGTGGGTGAGATTCTTCGGACCGCCAAAGCAGATTTGGGCTGACCAAGGCGGCGAGTTCAAAGGAACTTTTAAGCAGCGAACAGCCCAAGAGGGAACCCGAATGGATCCCAGCAGCCTGGAATCACCATTCCAACGCGGCCTTGCGGAACGGCGCGGCCGAACTTTCAAGGTGATCCTCGAGAAGGCCATGGCGGACTACTGTTGCGCGAGCATGGAAGAGTGGACACAGATTGTGGACACGACGGTCATGATGAAAAACCGTCTGACCTCCCGAGGGGGTTACTCGCCTGTTCAGCGAGTCATGGGCTACCTTCCGCGATTACCAGGAGGACTTCTTTCGGAAGGACATGATGACGCGGAGGCCGGTAAGGACCTCAAGTTGGGCGATGGCGGAGTTATCCGCGCGATGAACGTGAGAAAGGCCTCAGCGAAGGCCTTCTTCGAAGTGGACTGCGACCAGGCCCTCCGGAACGTCATTGCTGGCGGACCGCGACCCCAACAGGACTTTGCGGTTGGCCAGATGGTCTACTTCTACCGGCTGGGGCATATTCCAAAAAGGGTGATAGACCACATCAGCGATGGCACGGACCGGCCCGGGTGATCATGACAGATCCCCCGTCTACCGTGTGGCTCAGCTACCAGGGCAACTTGGTCAAGGCTTCACCAGAACGCATCCGTCCAGGAAGCATCGAAGAGAAGTTGACCGTAACGGGTTGGCTAGATGGCCTGACGAAGGCTAAGGAGGAGTTTGACAAAGACCCCAAGAAAGGCTACATCGACCTCAGCAAGGAGCCAGTGCCCGAGTACCAGGACACGATCGAGTACGAGCCCGACGAAGAGGACGCCGAGGAACTCACCGAAGCGGTACCAGATGGAGCCAGACGGCGAATCCTGGGCAAGACCAGCCTGGCAGACCTAAGGAACCGACCGGTGCGGGAACGAACCTCGGAGACTCCGCCAGAAGAAGATCTACTACGTGGTCTTGAGAATCCAGTGTATCCACCGGCGGGCACTTGGGAACCATTAGAGCCAAACCGACCTACGGAGGAGCCCGGCGACCGTCAACAAGATATTTTGGA